CATTTGAAGCAACTTCTTCCTTTACAAAAATTTTCTCCGAGGCACCGTTAACGAGTTATTAATGAAAAACAGTGACCAATAAGAATCGAGTACGGCTGACGCGAGGCGGCCCAGCCAACTAGCGCACGAAGCCCAGTTCCGCTCATTGGCTCGGTCGTCTCGCGCCAGCTGAGCTCGCCTCTCATTGGTTACTGTTTTTCGTTAATAACTCGTTAACGGTGCCTCGAAGAAAATTTTTATAAAGGAAAAAGTTACTTCGAATGACCTGAGGAACCCGCCACTTTCGAATTGCGAGACATTTTTAGGACACTCTGTATATAAAATAAATAAAATGAAAAACCGATTCTTAATATATGGAATATTAAAGGTAAAGAAGATATGTAGGTACTATATCGTTCGAAAGAAAATGTCAATGAAGTTATGCTACTGGGGCCTACGTTCGAAGCCATTCGGAGAAGAGATATCTTAATTCGACACTACTTGTAGAAGAGATGCCTCATTAGACCACATTTGGAGAAGAGATGCCTCATTCGACACCACTTAGAGAAGAAATGCCTCATTCGACACCATTTGGAGAAGAAATGCCTCCATTCGACGAGCTTACGCGTTTGATGGAGGTGTGCAGGTACAGTTTACTGTACTTTTTTCATCAACCGTGGAATTTTAAGAGATCTTGGTATAAGGATGGTCGAACGTTGAGGAAGAATGACACTGTTTAGATACGAGCTCCTCGAAATTCAGCGCCGATAGCGCAACGGATGGGATGTAGATGTGACGGCGAAGAACAAGGGCTGAAATCGAAGCCATGTTTTCCTGTGAGGACAAGAGTCGACTTGTCACTGTTATCCGAATCGTTATTAGAGGCGTAACAACAGCAATATTCATAAAGTAATGAAACAATTAACAACGCAAAAGTCAATTTATCTCGATGGGTCTATTCAGCAAAATTCCACGAAAAAATGAGACTGTAACCTATAGGTTATGTCAAGAAGACAGGTAAAAAGTCAGGTTATGTCACGGTCCGCCGACGTGATGCTCGCCCATAGGGCACGATACTGAACAATTCCAAGGATGATAGGCAACAAAACAATTTAACGTAGAATATAATTTTGCACTTATCTAATTATGCATAATATCAATGCAGCTTTTTAATGTACAGTTATCATTAATATGTATAACAATGTATTTTACTTATATATAATCACAGCAATAATAGAATAAAATGAATTACACATTAAGAACTAAGTAAATAAATGTAATCGAAATTATATCGTGTTTGATCTTATCGTAATCAGAAATATCTGTCCAAACTATATCATGTTTGGTCTCATTTTAATCAGAAAACTATCGGCAATATGTTAAAAAAAAGTCAGTGTTAAAATGTTAAAATTAAAAAAATTTACATCATTGTATTATGAGTTGTCTTCCTGGAATTCGAATCAAAGGAGCCGCGACGCGTGCTGCAGCACATGTGTTCACCGACGTCGAACGTTAGCATCGGCGTAGCGAGAAAATCGATAAATTTCAGGGTCGTAGCAATAGCGCCGCGTCACTTACGGCATAGCAAGATTTCGTCATTTAGGGAGGGATTACTATGCTAATAACGAATGATGAGATGACGGTTAACGAGATTCTGATGCGGACTTCGTCGATCCGCTAAAACGTGGAGGTGGAAAATCCCTCCACTAAAATTTACTAAAATAGTGGGGCACTGGGCCCACCAATTAGAAATAGCCTATCGAGACTGAGACAATGGGGGTGGCTCGATAGTCTGACGCCAAGAACGGCGATGCTGCGAACAATGGAAATTACGAGAAATAAACTGTCGAGACCCCTTGGCGTCCTGTGAGGACCTAGGTTACATCAAGTGCCATTGAGAGTGGTACGACTACGCTACCCTTCGGTCGTACCCGAGTCATAAAGAAATTTGTCAAACAGACACTAAAAAGACATCGTCCAAATCGTCCGCAGCCTAAACCCAAATATTAAGATGAGATTGTGGGGCAAGATACGCGTCGCGACACATCCTAATAAAATACAATTTACGAGTACGTGGTCACTGTACTCGTAAAATTGAGAGATCTACTAATAAAAGAAGTAGAATTGGAAGTAGGAACAACGTTGACGAAAGTAGGAGAGAAGAAGCAATAGGGAAAAAAGCAGCAGGAAGTGCAGAAGTTACCATAAATCAAGCATCAAGACTGATTTAAAAATATGAACAAAGATATCAATTTCTATTTCGAAAAGGTAAATTCATGTTAAAATTGAACATACAATTTTCTTAAATGTGGAGAAACCAGGATAAATTTGGATTAAAATTGAGAAGAAAACTAAAACTTGATATTAGAAGATAGTAGAGTAAATTTTGATTAAAATTGGAAAGAGGAAAGAAAATTCGTTTAAATTGGGAGAAGATAGCATAAGTTGAAGTCAACGTCGCGACTCTAAATGCCGAAATGACTCTAAATGACAACAAATTTTAAATAGAAGGTGAACATATATTTGAAAAGATCTTCAGAAATGATCACTAGAATGACCATTGCTGAACGCAGCACTAAACCAAAGTTTAGTAGTGGTCATTCTGAAGGTCCACCCTAGGTCAGATCACTTCTGCAAGAGGACCCACTTTGATTCAAAATTAAAGATTAGTTTTGTTTTGTAAATCAGTGATACAGGAATATTTTGTTACCATTTTTGCAAGTTTATAAATATAGGCGCGGTAAGAGAATATGTGTAGATGTACGGCAGCGAATCGAAATGTAGAATAAGAAACTAGGAGAACTATAAGGAACAAATGTACCTATCACTCTAAATAAACCTAACCTGTAACCTGAGGACCTCCTGGAACCAAACTGCTCCCTCTAGTGATCATGCTGCAACTGACTGAGCCATAGCGCTAAAAATGAGTTGAACGGGTAACCGAAAGTTACTTCCAACATTGACTCGAATGAATGTTGATCGCTATTATCGATGACGATCGATAACTTCGATCATTTCCAATCATTTAATGTTTGTAACAACTTATTTTTTGCAAGAAAGCTATCGAGCGCTCTCAAGATCACTTTATTACCTAAATATTTGATGAAAAACACTAACGAGATTTAGTAACCAAAAAATTTGAATAGAGCAGATCGATCGATGGGTTGCTAAATCAAACTCCTTTCATTAATGAATTTATTATTTCTGGCTTCCTAATATTTATAACAATTCCATTTGTTAGAGATATGGTTAAACACTGCCTTAGCTCCAAATATTAATTAAGTAGTTATTAACTTCATTAACATAATTTAATAACTAAATTATGTTAATGAAGTTTCTGCCGTATCGTAAATGTCCATTCAACTTTTTATTGAATCGTATCAGTGAACCTCGTTTAAAAAACAATTTATAACAAATGCTCAAAACCTCTACATAAATATCTCAAAATACCTTATTTATTTATTGCTTGAATATAAATAAAAATTAATCCAGACAAGAAGCTGAAACTGATCGACAAATTACCAACAGTTGATGTTGGCTAACGGTTTCAGCGTTTCGTCACTACGTGTAGTGGCGCTATTTTTATATTTTCAGGAGCAAATGATTCGTGCCGGATTATACATTGTACCTTATGACAAAAATGGTAAGAATTATGTGTTCCCTATGTTTGCAATAATACATAAACTGTTTTTACATGGTATAAATTTTTCAATTTTTCTGAATACTTCTGTAACTTCGAAACAGTTTGTTTAACGCTCAAATTGCTAAAATTCATCTAATAATCTGTACATAAATTCTTCTGAGACTATATCTTAATATTTCGTATATGCACAATACTTATGGTTTCCAAACTTTGCGATATTTTTTCCCAAGAGGATGCCAAGCGTGTAAATGATAAATAAGATAAATGATATTCAAATAAGTAGAATTATTTAGCGTCTCTCAGAATTGAAGCAAATCATACAACTTGTTTAATCGATCGATACAAAAATTATTCATTATGTGAGAAATGTAATCTAAACGTTGATTATGTAAGACTAGATTTAAAATAGTAAATTAGATGCGGTTCAATTGGAGTGGTATTAAAAAAATCCACAAATATACAGTTTTCATTTTTTTTATTTAGAAAGACAATAATAAAGTGTACAAATCATACAAAATTTCGAAACAAAACGGTCCTCGGTGCAAACTATATCGAAGGATAGTTGGTTTTACATAGGGATGTCAAGGTCTACGTACGACATCAAGGGAATCATTCGATACGAATTATTCGCCAACAAGCATGCTGACAACCTAAACATATTAGACCGACGATTTTCTTTTACTTAATCTTAAATTACTGTTATGTGTTAGTGGTATCGTATTTTCGAATTATAGACACTGACGTAAATTCGATTTATGCTCGATGTAAACGCAGACATTAAACACGATTACATGGCGACAGTTCGCAAAATGGCAACGTTTTCTCAACGAACTATAAATAAGTTATAAAATATTGCTACGTATATGCTAGTAGTATAGAAAGCTGTATCAACTGTTACTGGTTAGGCCATTCTTTTTGCGTTCTGTCTGATTCTGGATTGCAGTTGATCTCGATTGTTTCTAAACATACGGGAAATTTTCGTCTAAGATATATCCGTTTCCTCTGAACATCCATTCGCGGAGAAGTTTTCGCAAAAAACACAAGAAACCACACGAAAGCTCAAACAGATAACACACATGACAAACATAAAATCAAGATTAACGCGAAACAGATGTAATAGTTCGAACGAAGGAAGATCGAATACTCGAGTAACGCATTTTTCTTTAAGACGGCCGATCGGATTGAAAAAATTGACATTTATAACGTTCTTCAGGGACAAGTATTAAATACTATTCAGTCTTCTACAGTTGCATAACTCGTCAGTAAGGAACTGTATGGATTTCAAGCAAACTGAATATATTTGAATATAAAATCTAAAGTTACGCAAGAGGGCGCATGAAAATTATTTTCGAAATCGGTTAGAATTATTTATTGGTGCCGAGCAGATCGGTTCACGCGATAATTAAGAGAACGGAGGAGGCAGAGATAGATCGTCAATTACCTCCGGAATTTCCATGAAAGTTATTTCGATTAATTGACGTCTATTTAGATTTCGATTGTAGGCCAGGCAAGAACTTTCAAGCGAAAATCTATTTTCGTATATTCGTACGGGGGATTGTTTTAGCTTTAAACTATTCGCGATGACAATCGATCCGTCTAAAATTTCCCACACGTTTAGGACCACTCTGTGGATTGCAACATGTCCGTCGCGGTGATCTACACGGAGCATAAATCCGGATTCCTCGGGGAACTGAACGGTCTTACGGAATCTTTCGTTAATCAACTCGTTTCTTACATCTAACATACACACTCATATGTAATTGGCTAAAGTGTAAATGCAATTCGATCGCGGATATGATCTCCGTTTTATTTAGGTCGTAGGACAGTCATTAGTTTAAAGTAGTACGTTGGTATTCTGTTTCCTGTTATCCATTCTTATCCCTTAAAAGTAAATAATGACTTGCAGCGGGCATTCTTGTCACGGCTTTAAGAATCTCTTCTCGTAATAGTGGTCTAAGTACTCTGGACGTTTATCGTGATGTAGGGACCCTTAATGACGTCTAGCCGATTTGCCCGTGATCGGGATCGAACGTCGAAGTTCCAGCGGGCATCCCGACAGCGACAGATCAAGAATGCAGGCAATCGATATGACACACTGATGAACGATGTCTAGACGATCAGTCTTGTTTCTTATAAAGAGAACGGAAATTCGTGTAAAGCGTTGACTAATGACTCGCGATTTATGGATTATAACCTTTGGAGTTCAAGATAGACTTTATGGTCTTCCCTCCCTGCTCGGAAACGAGATGCTCGCTGTTCGACAGAATTTTTTCTTCGTTGCCTGGGCCGCCTTGTTAAAGGCTTCCTTTTAAACCACCTTTCGATGATAAATCTCAAACGGTCCGCGCCTCAAAGGATCGACGAGGACAAGAACATCTCGATTCCTAATTGCTTAACGAGCGAATTGCTTTGTTTATTATTTTAGTAGATCGGTAGCGATTAATTTTCCATCAGAGCGTCCAAGTACTCCTTGTAATCGGCCTCCGACATCTCCTCCTCCTCCTCCGCAACTTCGACGCTCCTCTTCCTTCTTGTGGTCTCGCTGGTCACTTCTATACAGAGTAGCGCGAACTTGTTATCGCAGGAATAACGAACTTGCTCCAAGAGGCGGCCACCTGTCAGGGGCGAACCTAATCCGTAACGATCGGAGCTGCTCGAATGCCAAGCGTCGCAGTACGTGTCCATCGCCCGATCCCCTAATTTGTGCGACCCGTGCCACGCCACTTTCTCCGGCCTGGAATCACAGGGAAACGTTTGTGAACAATTTTTTGATTCGCCGCTGCGCGTGCCGCAGGTACAACGGAATCCTGCTATCGTCAGAGTAATTGCTTTTGGAACCGCGTTTGTCACAGCGCTGGCCCGTTCTACCACATACTGAAATACACGGAGTGTATTACACTCTCATAGGAACATTCCTATGAGACATAGGAAATATAACATTCTCATAGGAAATATCTCCGTTTGATTTTAATGGTATTAACGCATCTTAAGCATGAAACGTCTAAACTCGTTTCGTGCTTTATTATTGTTAACCCTCGCCTCGTTTACGCATGCCGTGAAATCTAAGTACAGTAAATTTTCCTTAACTGATGCACAGATTGTGCACAAGAATGGATTATTTGGGAAGAGCAGATACGATTATTCGAGTTTTGTGGTTTGTTTTTATAGTTGTTGGCAATCGGTGACTATGAAAACGAGCCGCAAGACTCGAATTCCAAAGTGTCCATTTTTGTGTACAATCTGAGCGTTAATTGGGGAGAATTTACAGTCCTCGTGTGACAAGACGGCACCTTTGTGTTCACGTTCCCCCTCTTATTAGCTGCCCCACTGCCACAGCTATCGGTCGTTACTGGTCAAGAACCGGTGACGAAGATTGCCGTCGGCCAATAGCGATCGATAGCTGCGGCAGTGGGGCAGCTAGTTAGAGGGGGAATGTGAACACAAAGGTGCCTTGTTGTCGCATGAAGACTATAGTTGCGGCTAGCATCGCGGTTGACTTATTACCCCTATTCTGACGCAGACTCCGCGAGACAGCAGCCGTTGTATGTCGCGTAAAGATATATTCGTTATTGGAACTTGGAAGATGCAGCCTGTGTGTATCGGTAATGATAATAAATGTACGCAGAAATGCGATGACTGCCAGATATGTACATACATACATGCAATACACGTGAAATAAAAAAGTAGTATTTTATGTGTTATCTGTAATAATAAAGAATACATAATTTCGAAATAATAATATAAAGCAAATTTTCAATCAAACCCTATATGTTCAAATATTAAGTAATGAAATTCAGACTTCGGTCTGCATGGAACCAGAGTCAGCCGCTCGCAGTCATAAACAGTCCGCCGTGCGAGGGTTAAAGCGCGTAAAACTCGTTTCCTATGAATTATCAGTGGAATGCGGAAAACGTGTAAATACGGTCTTTAGGGGCGTAATTATTACGCATCATCCATTGCTAGATTTTTTACTACGTAGGTACCAGCCGATTATGCTTTTATAAATTTTTCATTTTTCAAAAATTATTAAATATTTCTTACCAAATACCTAACTACCTAATTTGTTTATCGATGATAATAAAATGGACCATTACCATGCGAAGTCGGTGAGAATATTTTTGCCGTTGAAACTGTAAATCCTAGGATTTTGGGAGAAGTACGCGCCGTTTCCATTGAACATCTCTTTCCAAGAATTAAAGAGCACGTCTCCCTGAAATATGTTAAGAAAATATATATATATGTATTATGTATTGTATACAGTCTTTAAATTGGGTGTATTCGCAGAAAACTGCCTTTCGCATTTAAACATTTGCATACACCTCGCAGTATTAATATACTTCAGATTCGCAATTACCTTTATGTTGACAATGGGAAGATCTCTATCTCCAAGCCTTACAATGCTGTCGACGTTCTGTACCCTGGAGCTAAGGAATGCACGGAACGTACCCCTTAATCCTGCTCGTTTTGCTTGTCGATAACAAGCGTAGTCTGCTGATCGCACACCGTGCATGTCTCCGGTAAATGGTTCGTTCAAGGCAGCCATTCGTAGCTGAAAGTTATGATACTGTTGTAATCATTTACCTTGTTTTTTTTTTAGGTATATTCAAATATAAACTCAAATGAAGTGGACCGCGGAGTTTCATTAAGAACAAAAATTTTCCGAGGAAGATTATCTACATTCATTTGTAAAATACGAGAGTTAGTATACAGAGTGACTCACTTAAATTCAACATCGAAGTTATTTCCGTTGTTACAAAAGCATCTGATGGTAATTAAGAATCGTTCCACCAAGGCCATTTTAATGATTTTTTCAAGTTCCTCGACATTTTTTGCACATTAACGTTTCTTTTTTATACCGTGATGATGTTGTATGCACCAAGACGAGTTTAATGACCTCTAATGTCATTACTTTGGGATGACCTTGACAATTAAAAAATGAGTCGAAATTTAAAGAATACAGAAACGAGGTAATTTACTCTATTTTATTACAAATGCTCAAGGTGCCGAGCACCGTTCTATATTATTTAAATTTCAACTCATTTTTTAATTGTCAAGGCCATCTCAAGGTCATTATATTATAGATTCTTGAATTCGTCTTGACGCAAATAACGACATTGCATTATAAGAAATAAACGCTAATGTGCAAAAGAATGTCAACGGTCTTGAAAAAATCATTGAAACGACCTTGACAGAACAATTTTTGATACAATCAGACGCACGCGTCGAGATTATGTACATACCATTTTATCATTTTGTCATACTTTTCGTAGTAACAGAAATAAATTAGATGTTCAATTTAAGTGGATCACCCTGTATATTATTGTTCTGTTGTCTTAATTTTACCACAAAAGCATAAAATCCGGAATTTATTAATTGATGACTTTTTTCAGAGAGGAATTTCGAGCCTGGGATACACGTATTTTCAAAAGACAAGAACACATGAAAAATCGTTCTTGGAAAACGATTTAAAAAATTTTCAGTTTAATACGACTACATATGAGACTCTACGGATAATTTCTCGTGAAGTCCTGGTGTAACGAATAACATGAGGCTAAAGAATATCGTTGTGAATGTACGGTCAAAATTCTAAGTCGATCGGATAAATTGTTTCCATGTAATCCCGGGGATAAGACTACAAAAACCGATTAAAGTTTAATTAGCAATTCGATAAGCTGAACGGTTTACGGGAAGAAACAAATACGTTCCTATAAAACCCCATTAAACTTTCTTTATTACATTGAATGATGCATCATCGAAGCTGCATCTTTGAAAGGGCGAAACTTTCGAAAATAGCATGAGAGATAAAGAAAATCTATTTAATAGTTTCCATTAGATCCCGCAGGATTAAATTCCGCAATTCGATTGCAATTTATTTCTTCCGAATTTAATTTATTTCATTCGTCCGAGACATCGGACGAAATAAATATCTTCCGTATTATCATTTCGGTTCTCCAATTTTACGATTCAAAGTCTTCTGGAACTTTAATTAAAAGTCAATACCGCCAGTTTTCTGTTGGAGACGAAAAGGCGGCGTGCATTGTTAAGATAAATGGAACGAAGGATGCGAGAGGGCTAATCTTCCTGTTCGCTCGTTACCGGAAAGTGATATTAAAAGGTTAATTGCGTTTCAAAACTTACCATTCGAGGATACCACTTAGCAGCGAAAAGAGGATTCAATTAAAATTAGGTGATCCATCAATTCGTTTCTTATGGATAATATTTTACATTCAACAGAATTGAGTTGGCGACTCACCCCTGTTCCATCTGCTTTCACGGGTATCTGGTTGATCAGGTTGGAAGCCTCAAAAGGTGGATTTGCTGGGGGTGGAGACGTTGTCGGTGGTGCAGGAGTAGTTATGGGTAGAAGTGAGCCCAGCTGGAAAGTACGGGATGAATACATCTAATTAAATCGATCACTGCGACGTCTCCCACTTGGTTAGTTTGAAAATAATATTACTTTTTCTAGCATTTACGTATCCTCGAGCATGCATAGCATTTTTATTCTCTCCGACGTTTTTAATTGTACTCCAGTGACCCCCGACTTTTATTTACCCTACATTCTCTTTGCTTCGTGTTTCATTATTCCTTTCTTAATTCAAGAATTTCATGTAACTAAGAATTATTGAAGTAACAAAAACGCTTTTGCAAAAAATAATTGACTAAATCTCTTTGTTCAGGCATAGACTGTAATAGAAAGTGCAGAAAGTCTAAAGAAATACAGTTTTATTGTTTTTATAAGATTGGACAATTCAGTCATTCGCAGTGCTCGGCACGTTCAGTATTAATTTGCCGGATCCGTTCGAAATTGGCAATCATTCGGCGAAAACTGTGAAACTGTGGAACCCAAAAAAATACTAAAATATACTAACAGCGATGTATTGCCAGCCATTGTTCACTCTGACGAGCAAGGCCTGCTCGTCGATGATGTAAGCGAGTGTTCCAACCGGACTTACGCCGGACATCTGGGACAAAAATTTTAGATTGAATTGGATTCTAAATCAGATCAGAACACCCTTAGAATTGTGTATCGTTTAAAAAGATTTACTTTGGTCATAGCTTCGGTGTTTTGGAAAGTCACTGCTCCAGGCACGATCTTCGTCGTGGTCTCTAAAGGACCTCTCGTCGCAGTGGTTGCAGCATCTGATTAAAACGTATGCATATTAGGACCGAAATAGCCAGGAAGCAATTAAACATACAGAAATCTATAACGTGGTCCTAGTTTACTATTGATCAACGGAATAACTAACATACATGCAGCTAACATACATGAATAGAAATATTTCAGCATATTTTACCTAAGCGATCTTTTAATTCTTTCAGTTGATTCAGTTCACGAAGAGCCTTCAATTTGTCCAGACTAGATCTGAGTCCTTGCAGCGCAAAAGAAACGTGTTATTTGTAAATTGAGTTTCTTTCCTCCCGCCATTTATAACTCGCAATATAACTTTCTATTTAACTTGTATACTACATTGTTTTATAATTAATTATCCGATCGAATCGTATCGAATATTTTATTCGAATAACGATCATTCATTAATTGTACGAACAATTTTTTATTCGAATGTATTATTCGCATAATTCTTTAAAATTCTGTAAAATTATTCGACTAATAATGTGAACAATTGTTGACTGTTTCAATTGTAAACAGTATTCGAATAAAATCTTATTCGGATTTTGTATCTAGATCAATTTTTATTCGATTGGATGTTTATTCGATCGTATGGAATAGAATTTTATTCGTTAGTCGTTATCTCTTATCCGTCATCCGAATAAAATTATGCTGAACTCTGCCGCAATGTCTATGTAGAATTTGTAACAAGTTTAAGAGTTCTCATTTAGATAATTTCAGAAGAGATTAACTGCATGATATTTTACTCGAGACAATCTCTTGATTTATGAATGAAATTGATTTGACAGAAAAAATAGGAAAATATTTTCAATTAGATATCTTTGATTTGACTTTTCTTCGATTGAATAACTAGGGTAGATGTGTGTCCCAGTCTCCGCGCGAGTCTCGATTTCCGTGCCACCGAATTAAAAACGTATAAAAAAAGAAAAGTTTCATATATAAATTGACATCTCTCCCTGGATCTGACATATTGATAGATAAACATAATATGTAAAATAATATTGGTCGTCAATTCATATATGAAACTTACACATAAAACTGGAATATTTAGCCTATAGTTAAAGCGTTGAAATATGGAGAATCTATTATTTTCAATAGTATCGTTCGTTCTTGACGAAAAAGAACTTGATGGATCATTCTGACGGCAACCGAATCTGATCCATCTAACACGAGGACGCAATGATATTAATATTTGACATTCTTTCACCTTGTCTGACGCCGTAGTTGTCTCTTTCGCTGAAAATATGACCTCTGCCGAGTCCCGCGTCTTCTTTTTGTCCAGCCAAAGACATTCCAGGTGTCCCCGGTGGTCCTGGAGGTCCTGGTGGTCCTGGAACTGGAATGTACTTCCCTTGAGACTCAGCCTGTCCAGGAGGTCCTGGAGGTCCTGGAGGTCCTGGAGGTCCTCTTTCTCCGGGAATGCCAGGGAAACCATCATCTCCTTTCGTTCCTTTCATCTATATTGGTCCGGATACAAATACAAATTTAATACCATCTGATACGTACAACAAATTCCATAAACAGACCGACTTTTGAGGAAAACGCTTTTCAAATTCCAATAATTTCACGGAACAGGCCTATCGAATTCGAATTTGGCAAAATCCATACGGTTTTTAGTAAATGACGAATCCTGATGGACAGTGTATTGGTAAATTAGAAATAGCTTGTAAAACAAAAATGGACAATTTGGGAACAGGAGATCGGATTATTCGAGCCTTGCATCTCGTTTTCATAATTGTTGACAATCGGCTACTATAAAAATGAGCCGCGAGGCTCGAATAATCGCATCTCCTTTTCTCAAATTTTCCATTTTTGTTTAGAAACAAAGTAATTTTAAAGTTAATTTAAAGTAATTTAAACATTCTTAAATTGGCTTATATTTGAAAAATGTAAATGACGTACGAGCAAATATGCCCAATTTCATATTCATGCGATACAAAAATAATATAAAATCGAAGTATTATACTTTGGAAGAAATGTCTTAGTTTTGAAGTTGAAACAGCTTTGTGGACAAAGGTTGAATTGTTTAAAATTTTGAAAGTCGAACAAAATTCAAAGCTGTCCTCAATCAGCTTGATTATCTTTATTAGTTACAAATTGTTTTTTACTATCAATTTCTCCTTATCAATAATGAATATCACGTTAATTTATTATCTGTACTTTGTTCGTTCGAATAGTTCATGATAAAACCTAAGGAAACGTAACGACAGCATTCAGTAATAATCTCTAGAAATGAAACAGCTTTTGTGTTTTGCTAACAATCTCCGATAACTTGCAGATTCGATCGGGAAAAAACTAATTTTATTTATTCGGATTAATCGATTGGCAGCCCGTGGTAGTAAATTGGAAATTGGAAATTGGAAATTGGAATTAGTATCGGAGTGTGGAGTAACCAATTAATAGAATGCGATAACGTTATTATAACTTGCCTATCTGCTATGTAATTTAATCACCGTCTACAAATAACGCGAGCCTTCGTCCTTTCATTTTCTATATAACGTAAAAACATAACGTGTATATTCATAGAATACACAAACAAAATTCCTTCTTTAGAGAAGATTTGTATACCTGTTATATAGAAATAAATGAATTAGGTACATAAATTAATTAATACCTTTTTGTAAAATATTTCTATACTCTTTCTATCCAAATAAATGAATCGAATACATAAGCGAATTAATACTCTTTTGTAAAATATCCTCCTGTCCTTCCTATAGGAACAAATGAAAAGAACACAAAAACAAATTAACATCTTTCGAAAATCTATACCTATTCCAATGTTTTAATTTCTGTAACAGCCAACAGATCTTAAGACTTTATTCACCGAAAATCTATTAACATAACGTTTTTTCGTCATCAATATTTAAGTGTTCAAATAAACGTAGGCACACAATCAATATAAATTTTCTATTGTCTCTTATAAAATATGATATTATTATAATCGAAAAACTCTTAATCATTGTAACCGTGATGATAATGATACAACAGGGGGTTGAAACGACGGGAACAGATAAGAATCTACATCATTTTTCAACAGCTTAGCAACGATTTCACTGTTAGCATATCGTTTTTGTGCGCTAATGAGCACCAGAAACTGCGACATCTGTTAACTTTGATGCTTCGTTATGGATATTAATATTCGGACACTTTTTAAAACGCAATAACTCTTTCAGAACTGTTCAAAACGTCTTGAATTTTTTTTAAATTTTTAGTCTACTAGACCATAAATAGAATTTTTTTTTTAATTTTTGCTGTTTCTTAGAATGACAAAAGAAAATAATAGATTCTCGTTTTTTTTAAGTTTTTTTATCTGAGCCTATAACGAAAATTTAAAAAATGAGGTTTGTAGATCTCAATAAATTACATGCACGCTGAACATTTTATCGAAATCGGTCAACGTAAAGTCAGGTTACAAGCGTTAAAAGATTTGAAAAACTGCAGATTTCTCGCATTTATTGATCGAAAGTATCAAAAATCGGGACAAAACAGAAATTTTTGCGATCTTTAATTGTTTACAGTTAATACCAAGGTCAACCGTTCGAATTTTCAACGTGTACATAACACAGCGAGATCTATAAAACGCATTTTTTAAATGCTCAGATAAAAAGGTTGAAAAATGAGAGTTTTGTTTTATTTTTTTGGCATTCTAAGCAATAACAAAGTTTAAAGAAAGCATTCTGGGGTGAAACTTTACCTTACGGGTCCAGAGATCTTTGGCTCATTTATATGTTATATGACTAATTTAATATTTAATTTAATATTTATATGGCTAATTTATATTCCCGTAGATCTTGTCGAGAAAACTCCAAAACTTCAGGCCCCAAGGTGCGAAAATTATTGGTTCATAAGTTATACGTGTTCAAAATTGATGCAAAATAACCCTATTCCTAATCTTAACTCTTAAAGGAAAGATTAGCCGAGTAAAATATGGAGCATTCGAATTATAATACCAAAATGACTACTCATCCATGCCTGCATTGCCATTTAGTGGCTTTGTGAGTAATTTCTTTTATATTTGTGTTGTCGTCTAGCAACGCCACTCATGGAACTACGTCTCCGGTTGGAGTATAGCTGCCCCATTGCCATAGCTATCGGTCGCTATTGGCCGACGGCGACCTTCGTCCCGTTTTCGGCCAATAGCAGCTGGTAGTTGCGTCAGTGGGGCAGCTAGTGAGAGGGGGAATATAAACACAAAGGTATATTCTTATCGCGTGAGGACTATGTATATGTATCAATGTGGCGTCGCTTGCTCAACATGCCAAAACGCTTGATCATCTTTGAACGCGTATAACTTTTGAACCAATGGTTTGCGCACCATGGGACTTGAATTTTCTTTTGTGTTTTCTCGACAATATACATCTACGGAAATATACATAAAAGAATCAAAAATTTCCGATCCCTTAAAGTAAAGATCAGCCTATTTTAGTTATGGTCCCTTTGTTATCTAAAAAAGAATTCAAATCGTTTAGTCGAATTCTAAAAATGTTATTACGTTTTAAAAGGTATCCGAATATTAATCAGAGTCGCCTAGCATCTGGGTATGTGAACGTGTCCATTTTTGATCTATTATAGACATTTCAGCTTCTACCGACGAGTGTGAATCGGCATGAATTATGGGACGCGTCTTCGCGAGATAGGAGCTGCACGGAAACGCAATAAAAGCGTCGGCTGGTGCCTTATGTTCGCGGGGCTTTTAAAGCAAACTGTAGTGAATTAAATTCTGCCACGAGCATTCGCCGGTGCTTGTCAGTTGTCAACTGCGTCGCCGAACTTTCGATGAATTTCTGTTTGCCGTGCAGTAGGAATCGGGTCGCGGCATCGGTGACCGATAAGGATGGGACGAAACGAACAAAAAAAAAGAAAGAAAAAATAGAGAAATCGGGAAAAGAGGAAAAAAAAAGAGAAACGAACGGGGCCGGGCGTCAAACACACACTTGTATTAATTTCCGTCGGTGCCGTCTTTTTACTTCTTGTTCAACGAGACTTGTTGGTGTACCGGGGGGTGATCTACGAGCCCCGGTACAAGACCGTGGTTGCCAAGCTGCTCGTTTCGAGTAAAAAATGTTCTGGACTGTTTGAACTTGTCCGCCCGCTGCAATCCAGGACACGCGGACCAGACCCGTCGATTTTTTAAATAAACAGGTTCGAATTGACTGTAGCGGATCCGCGCAGCCCAGTGGAAACACCCGGAGAACATCGAGTGAATTAATACGTTTTCTCACACAACATACGGAAATTTACGACGATAATTATACAATCAGGATCGGCCGTAATGCTCTATTGTTTAAGTATAATGAAGTCTTGAGGCCCGGGCAACCGCAAACGTCAGTTACATTGGTTACACGCACATGTAATCCGTTATTATTTTGCAATCGAGCGTTTACCGGCGTAGTTTTACAATCGCAGTTTCTACTTTGTGAATAACAAAATTTGTTTACTGCAAAATATTGTAGTACGTTTCATCAAGCACGTCCTATATTTTTGTTACCGTTGCACGGAATATTCTAATATTTACAAATTAATTTCAAGACAACGGTTGGACCTAATAAGAAGACATCTTGCGCGTATATTTGTACACGTGTAAAATAGTAGCACACATTTTTATAAGCGACTTTATTGAAAATCGCGAGAGTTGGTAATATCACGACGTGACAATCGAGTGTTTCGAATCGTTTAAAAATTTGGTCTATCGAACGCGATTTTTTCCAAAATTAAATATTACAGCGAGCAAATGCAGACCCCGGTTCGCGGGGCATTTTTCATTGAAACGACCTGTCCAACAATCTCTGAAAGTTCGCAACAAAGGTCGTAGATTACAGCGTACATACATCTCACTTTAACCAGTCACTTGCCACGAGACAAGATAAAATACGCATCCATTAAGTTTATTTGTTTCACGTTGGAAGCCCTAACGTTTTCTTTTCGTCTTTTCCTTTCCGTTGCCGTGTGTGAAACGCAGCATGACTCAAGCAGAGAAAGTAGCACGAATTTTAATAGCTCGAAAATGTGTGGTGAAATGCAAGTTCTTCTGCTAGCTTCCAGTATTTCAGAGATTCTTGTAAAAGGCGTGACCCGTAGTTCCATTAATATGTGATCGTATGTTAATATATTCCATTAATATATAAATAAATAATTGCGAGGTTCTTAATGTTATCAAATACAAGCTCTGTCGTATGTTTCGTAATGAAAGTTTGCGCAAGATCACTTTTTTTGTTTTAACAGACGTGTGTTGTTCCGTTGTTCCGAGTTATTGAAAATACACAAGCGGCAATGTGAGCGCAAATACAAATTATACAAGCACGCAAGAAGTATAATCAATATGCAAAATTGAAAATAAACACGAGAAAAAGACAATGTAATCTTATATGGATCAACTTCCAAACGTTTCGTTTATTTTATAAAATGATTCATTGTAAATATTTTGACCTGCTCGATCATTTCAATCTTCGTTCAACAAATATAACGTCCGCTGACGAACTTAAATTTAAATGTATTTCATTCATTCAGTTAGCTTTTTATCGTATTAGCAGAAAATATGGCTATGATTCTTCTCAATTAATAAATATGGCGAACGAAAAGTTAATCGAAAAGTAATAAAGTGGAGTTGAACGATATCGAGTAAATTTATACAGAGACGTCGCGTGTCTTCTGTTCAAGGCTTGTTCATTTAGAGATACGAACAAAGTGTACATATTTGACGTGTTATACTGGAATATGAACGACGTTAACTCAAACATATAGTATAACTTCGAAAGTTCACCGTCGAGCATTGACCATTCGCAGCTCTGATTTTGATGAGAGACAGTAAATTGTACTTACACCGACGGAAACTCCGTAAGAGCTCAGTGATCCGGGCTCTCCTTTTTCTCCCTTGGGTCCTGTTGGTCCAACAGGTCCGGGAAGTCCAGGAGTTCCAGCACGGCCCTGTTAGAGATCGTTACCGATACATAACGTTCATGTTCTACCTCCTGTCCATGAATATTCTATGTTCATTAACCCTTTAATTAATCTCGTGCGCAGTAATGCAACCTAGCAAACGTTCGCTCCATTACTGAGATTTCTAATTTTATCGGATAATTATTACACTACTCGATACACGGGATGATCAATAAGTCAGATTAATTCGATATTATTTGGTTCGTGCCGAAGCTTCTCACCGTTGCAGGATCGTAATCAATAGCGCTTCGATAAATGGGTTATGAAGCCGCAATGATGAACGTTCGTATTCGAAATTTTGATTTGCCGAACTTCAAGCGGTTTAATAACGTTTTTCATGGAGATTAACGGACTTTGCTGACGACTCGTTATGTTTTTTTTTTAAATTAGAAGGTATGAGATTGTGTAATACTAAATGATTTCATTGAGCAATACTTACTTTCATACCGTTCTGTGTTCAGCATTCGAAAAAAAGAATCGGTATTTTAGAATTGAAATTTTCACACGTTAATAATGCCACCAAATAAATGCTATCTGAATTCGTGACAGCAATATTATTATGCTTTAATTTCGATACGTTTTAATAACGGTTAAAATAAAGATTAGAATTAACCGAAACTTCATCAGAACATTTCTGTCCATACATTTTAAAGAAGCAGCGAACACATAGTCCAGCAAGCATGTCTCTTTTTCTAATACCAGAGATTAAGTTTTCGCATAAGTAATGTGCCTTTTCAAGAAAATCTAATCAACAGATGCATTGCATTTCTTTCAAAGTGAGACAATTTAAGGTAAAACACCATATACTGGCAACAGATTTAAACTTTTTTTCTAATGTTGTGTACTACATTCCCCTTGTGAAAACTTAATAGAAAATGCATTGTATGTGAAAATTATGAGTTAACTATTTTACACTATCTCTTTAAAAGGCTGGCAAAAAGTATTCAATCAAACTTTAGAATATGAAATAATTATTTTGTAGTATATTCAAAATGAAATATGGAGTTTTACATGTATTTAAAAAAATATTATATGCTGTATATTGTACATTGTATTTTGTACATTGTATATTGTACATTATATGTTCAACATTGTATATTGAACGTTGTATATTGTACATTGTGCATTTTGCATTGTACTTTATACATTGTGCATTTTGCATTGTACTTTGTACATTGTATATTATAAATTATATTATTGTACATTGTATATATATATATTGTGATTCTATATTATACATTGTATTATTGTACATCGTATATTATACATTGTATTATTGCATATCGTACATTTAAAAAATATTAGTAAAATCAAGAATGCTTCTATTCTCACAAATATAAAGTGTTTCATAGACAGGGGATGGGTTCGTTGAAATTGTAACACGATTCCCCCCACGGATACACGAGTAGATATATCGATAGCCGCTTGATTTGTTTGATCGAATACTTTTTTGTCAGGGTTATGTGGAAATAAATTGCGGGAAAGTTGCAACAGCTAGATTGATCGATAGAGTAGTAAAAGAATAGATGCTCGTACCGTCCATCCTGGCAACCCAAACTCTCCCTTGATTCCCTGTTTGCCAGGTGGTCCCATGGGACCTGGTGGTCCCGCAGGACCAGGTTGCCCGGGTCGTCCTCTCCTGCCCCTCTTGCCCTCCTCGCCTTTGATGGTGACATAGCCATCAGAGCTTATTATTGCTGTCGCTCCTGGCGGACCTACGTCGCCTTTTTCACCCTTGCCCGGTTCGCCTTTGTTGCCTTGAGGTCCTTGGATGCCATTCACACCAGGAATTCCGGCTGGTCCAGAATCACCCCTGTCTCCTTTCTCGCCTTTGGAACCCTTATCTCCTTGGTACCCGCGCGCCCCGGTCTCGCCTTTCTCTCCCCTTTGTCTTAACCCTAATTAATTAACAGCAACGCATGAGAATGTTTTCGACTAGATTAACAGTACTAAGCGCCACCTCGCCCGGAAAGATCGTGCCTCACCGTCATAGAACTACAACGGTGGGGAATTCTCAACGAATGAATCAATTGTTTGCTGGCAAACAATCATTTTCTGAAATTTTGTATACATTGTAAGAAAGTAGCATTAGGTTTTCGAAGCTTTTTTCTGCCTGTTTGCGTTAAATTCTCGAGAAAATATAATTTTTCTGAAAATTGTATGAACTCAGAAAATAAAGGAGAAAGATTGACTAACATTTTGTGGATAACACAAAGGTAATACTAAAGAACTAACGGTCTTCAAGAGATTTGAACTTCTATGAGGGTGGACCATATCGTTTTTCTAACCGAATCGCGAAGTGGAAATGCTCCCTTCGAAGTAATCCAGTGTAATCATTAATCACAAACTTCGTTATCCTTTAAGTGATTAATCAATGCAGTATTTTGTCGAACTTTGTTAGACCAGGAATCAAAGTATCAAACATTGTTACAGTCGTAGAAGACTATACAAGTATCAATCAAGTTTCATTTAATGAAACTTAGAAGTAGTGTAGTTTTGTGATGTACCAAAGTTTATAACTTTCATAACGAGAACGTTTTCACAAACTGTGTTTAAAGTGTTCATAGAGAATAAAGCTTTTTTTGAAGCTTATCACTGAAAAGCCGATTTGTCTAAGTTTCAATAGTACTGTAATTTCTGAAGAAGAAAAACGCAGACGTATTTTCAATAGAAAGGAACCAAATAATATTAGACAGGACCTTGATTGGCTCCTCGAGAATGACACACGAATTTCTCTTTATGAAAACTCGTCCATCTTATCGCAACACATACCAACATTTCTTAACTATCGAACATATACCGATTTTCTCTGAAGTAACTGCAACATCAACATTAAGAAATCAACAGCAACCTCTCCAAATCGCTAAAGAAATCCTTCCATTATACCAAGAATATTGAGAATCTTCACAATTCCATAAAGAAAAAGTAACCATTTCTACAATTCCTTTCAACTAAGAACTAGCAATACGACATGTTGATGCCACTTTTATGCTTTTAGTAAAAAAAAGAGAATCGACAAACCAACGGTAATGAGATCTTTTGCAACCTTACCTATATCACCAACATTTATTTCTCCAGGACCGTTTAACGTTGTCATGCCTGGTGGTCCAGGAGGTCCTGGTGACCCTATTTTGCCTTCCGGTCCAGTGTCACCTTTGTCACCCTTTTCGGCCGGTCTTCCATTTTCGCCTGGAGCTCCAGGAAGTCCTGGTGCTCCCGGAGCACCAGGTTCGCCCTTGAATCCTTGGGTACCTCTTGAACCTTCTTTCCCGTGATCACCCTTGGCGCCTTTCGGCCCTGGTTCGCCTCTGTCTCCTTTGGCGCCAGCAATACCTGGGATTCCTTTCTGCCCTTGACTTCCTGGTACTCCTGCTTCACCCTTCTGTCCCGGTCGCCCTGGCCTCATCGTGATGTCCTCCGTCTGGAATCACGAGCGGCTGTTAGTCAAATGTGTTTTAACACGTTTTTAACACGTTGAACGCCACGTCACCCATATCTGGGACAATTTTCGTCCAATTAAAGCACGGTTTTGGAGGTAATTTATAGTAATTTTATTTGTAACACAACTATGATGAGTATAGACAATATAGAGTAATAAGAAAGTATAAAGTCAACAAAAACAAACATTAAAAATATACTTATATTAACAAATTGTACTTAAATTAAAATTTGTTTTTAAAATATTATAACATTTTATTAGTTACGATAAAATTCGTTAAAACATTGTAAACATAATTGGGGCGACTCTGGACACTCAGGACAATACGTTATATGTAGTTAGTAAATTTTTTTCCCTTCGTGGCGCCGGGAGAAACTCTACCGATTTACGCTGGGCGTTCAACGTATTAAAATTCACGGTTACAAATTCACTTAATCCGTTGTACTTTGACGAGTCTGACTTATAACGGAAATCTCATGTAATAACTCATTAAGCATGAATGTTATTCCGTTCTTTTAAATCGGAAGAAAATTCTGTTCTCTTGTCATCAATATTTAAGCAGCGAGTAAACGTAGGCAGTCAACAAATAAAAATAATAATAAATAAAAAGAATTCTAATCTCTCGTCCTATATGAAAGTACGGGAAGGGGTTAAATAGGTAAATAAATATTATTAGAGGTGTCGATACCGTGATATTAATGAAATTCAAATAAGTTTCATCACGTTTTCATGATATCAATAATGTTTTGAAATTCCATATTAGCGATTGAATCAAATGTAAATTCTCCTCCAATGACAATTCAGATCTGTGTTAATTCGTGTTTCTCCTGATTTTGATGAATTCGAAGTAGATCTGTACCGTGCTCAACCTAAATAACGTATTGTTACTCACCCTATAAATGCCCCGCGGCTTCCAGCTGGGCTGCATGCGCATAATAGACGAAATTTCTCTATTTAATCATCGCCATAAAGTCGTGAAACTGAAGGCAGCCGACTTGCGGCGCCAACTACCCCTTTGAAACGTCTAATGATCGCTGACGAACAATCCCCGCTCAAACAATCATCCGTGTTACACGACGATACACTCGCAATGCCATGATTCAACCATTAGTCCGTTCTATGTTCATCTGTTACAAGCTTCGTCGCAGAGTTAGTGACAAATTGATCATTCGCTTCGATGATCTACGAACGGCGAGTTTGGACTGTTCGACTGTTTAAGTTCTACGATCACAGAAGTTTATAAAATTATGCCAAATCCTGAATTCAACATCCTGTTTAGTCCTAGATGCCGTTCGAATAGATGAGATGTTTCAGGATAAAATCATGGTGACGTGTTCTTTTAGATAGTAATAGGATTATCTTGACAGCAATTTTTATAAAAATTTCGCTCGACGGAGAAATGCAAAAGCTCTGGAATGTAAACAGACGTTTCCGGAACAGTTTTACGGAATTGCAAGTTATTCATTCGGATTAGGTTAGTGCTGGACCTTAGATTGGGTGTTTGCTGGACCTCCATTTGCATACTGTTTTCCCACTTTGCTTTTCATTTCTACTTAGTTCTACATTTCCATGGTGTACTGGCTTAAATACCCCACTCGTTGCTGGCAATAGGGAAACGTGTCGAAGGAAAACATCATTTAGCCCGAAACAAACAACACTGTTGTTTAATTTTTGTAAAAATTAACGCATTGGCTACCAGCGTGACTAGCGTGCACAGCTATATTTATTGGTATTTATCGTATTAAATACATCGCATCCTCTTATAAAATATGATAAAAATGTCGTCAAACAGAAGCTATAAATTCTCTAAATAACATGCCATGCCACAATTTAAAATAATTAAGGTAAGTCCGGGAAAGTTCGGACAGTGTAAATACAGTAAATTCTCCCTAATTTTTCTTCAGCTTGTAAATAAAAATTGACAATTTGGGAAGAGGAGATACGACTATTCGAGCCTCGTGGTTCATTCTTATAGTTGCCGATTATCAACAATTATAAAAACGAGGTGCAAGACTCGAATAATCGTATTTCCTCTTCCCAAATTGTCCATTTTTGTTTACAAGCTGAAGGACAATTAGGAAGAATTTACTGTATCTCGAAACGACGACGCCATATGGCGTTGTGCTAAAAGTTGGAAAACCTTTTTAATAAACTGATTGTTGATCACGTGTTGCAATTGTCGTGAAACTGTACTCTGTACTTGCAAGTTGTGTATAAAGCTTTAGACGGATCTGAATGTTTTTTGCACTATTTTAATTTTAAGGGATATACTATGCATAAAACTACTGTATAACCTCACAATTGTACGCATATATTCATTTCTACTTTACATTAAAAATGCTGTCGATCTCTCTCGTAATTCTGGTATAGATCGATCATACTAATTCGGGAGAGACCGACCACATTTATTATTCCGTTCTTAAACGAAATTTTTATTCTTCTTCTACCCGGTTTTCTTCAAGACGAATTTGCTTTCTTCTCAAATTGAAAATAGCTTAATTTCCAAAGAATTGGCTTAGCGAGACAGTACCCGTGTTTCCACAAACAAGTGCAACGCGATAGGCAACTTGTAAACATTATAAATAGTTCAAAGAACATTGAGACAAAGGAGAACAAGGGAATTATAAAGAAACATAGGAATGTTTCAGTTGAAAGGAGAAGGAATGTAAAGAAACGTGGATAACAATTAGAACAATCATCCGACTCAAGCAGAGATAATCCAGTTTTGCAAGAAAGCGCCACGTCATTTGAAGAATGGAACCAAAATGAATGCGTGAGATGCAAAAAGGACTACAGTAAATTCTCTCTAATTCACGCCCAGCTTGGAAACAAAAATGGACAATTTGGGAAGAGGAGGTACGATTAATCGAGCATTGCGGTTCGTTTTTATAATTGTTGACATTTGGCGACTATAAAAATGTGCCGCATCACTCGAATAATCGTATCTCCTCTTCTCAAATTGTCCAATGCACGTTCGTTTTATTCCAAGCTGAGCGTCAATTAGAGAGAATTTACTGTATTTCGAAACCACAAAAGTTGACGCCTGGCTTAAATGTGTGAGGTGTAATTGTTGCTATGACGAGGTATGCTCCAAATATGAGAATTTTGTGATTTAAGTGGGAAACTGAAGAAAAAGTAACATAAGAATTACTTTTTTTATTTGTAATACTTTTTGTAAGCTACAGTCTATTATTTTTCGAGGTCGAAAATGGAAGTGTATATTTAAAATTGATGCAAAATATTGTTTATATATACGTTAAGTTACTCAGACATTGCTGTAATTTGGTTAATACGATTAAATTCTGAAAAGCCACAGCAATACGATACTTTTTTCAAAAAGTGGTCGGACTCTCCCTGATTTACCCTATATTTAGAAAACTAATTTGATATTCTTGATGTGTTAAAGAAGAGTTTTCTTCGTTAATTAGAAGATTACATATTTTGGACAGAAAATAAAATTGTTATATACAGTAAATTCTCCTTAATTTTCCTCCAGCTTGTAAACAAAAATAGACAACTTGATAAGATGCATCTCGTTTTTATAATTGTTGGCAATCGGCAACTACAAAAATGAGCCGCGAGGTCGGAATAATCGTATTTCCTCTTCCCAAACTGTCCATTTTTGTTTACAAGCTGATGGAAAATAGGGGAGAATTTACCGTATTTCTAAAATCTGTATATTCTATCTAAATTCTAATTTCTTAGCAGCTAGTCTCAATCGTTAGACACTTGTATTGTATCTAATAACATGATCAACGTTGATCTTAAAGAATTAAGTTAAAAAATATTTAAAAGAAAACCGATAGATTAGCGGAGCCGGTTACTATGGGACGATCAATTACTGTATCTTTGGTTTCTTTTCGGGCATACTTCGTTTATTTTTGAACCAATAAATTTAATATTTCTTGTTCGGGATAAATACAAAGTTAATTATGCTCGAAAATGAACGCCACGGTAACCGGATCCACGGTCTGCGTGAAATGCTTATGTTAAACAAACTTCTATATTTCTCCGACAAGAAGGTCCTTCTGAAAGGAGAAATTGGCGTTCGGATCAAATCGACGATGCACGGTGGTTGATCAGCGTTGTGTGCAGGTAATTGAATCTTCAAACGTGCACGCGAAAAAGTGAGGAAACGGTTGAAAGAGTAGACGGAGGCTTGAATAGAGAAACACTAGCAAAAAGCGGGCAGAGCAACGACGCGTTCACGGGTCTATCCGTGAATGCATGTATCAAATCCACTCGATCGACACTCGTTTATTCAAATGTTTTACAGCCCTCCGCTTCTGTAACCGTTATCGGATCGAGTGTACTTTCTTTTCGTTTTATCACGCCGAATGGTCCGGTACGCCTATTTATCAACGCCAGTATTTGTTCCCGTGTATGTCATGCCGGGGGTCACCTAGACCATTTCCACCAAGTGGTTTCGAACTTTCGGACTTCGATCGGCCATTGACAGAGAAAGCGCTGCATTCAGGATGGGCATCTTTCATCCGCCTTCTTCTCTTTTATCTTCAAAGGGGCCTTATCACGATCGCTTCCTAATACGCCCGGAGTGATTGAAAAGCTGCGCCGAATTACCCGTAATTCTATGGACAGCCTGTTCTATTATAGTATGTGGGACACTTTTTATAAACTCGATGAAAAAGGTCCTTCACGCGTCATTGAATCAATGATCTTACTAAAAGGTTTATTCGAGGTTGCATGATGCGAGATGTTATTAGCGCGTCACCTTTAACGAGGCGCTACAAATTTTATAATTTACGATTGCTGAAGTTGTAGATACATTTATGACGAGTTTATTCGATAAAGTTTCATTGGATCTGTGTATGTATGTCGTAATAAAAATGACTGAAAATCTGAACAAATATATGCTTGTTAGTTTTATGAAACAATATAAAACAGCTGCTTTTAGTGCTTCGTAAACCTAGCGTTAAGGAGAATTTAAAACTGGACTTTAACAATGAACTTTAGAAATGGAGTTAAAGTGTATATTGGTCTATAACAATGGCAAAATTGGATTCATTTAAATTTCGCTACGATTTTTATTATAATACACGCTTGACTGAACAAGCTCTCATGTAAACATTTCTCATAGAAACATTTTCATAATTTCAAAGCAATTGTAAAAGAAGAAATCAGAATATAAAAATGTAACTTTATTTACTTGATTCCATTAATTTTCAAGAAAGAATTCTTGTATAATAATTTCGAAAATAAGCTATTTTTATGAACTTTTGTCCACAAATCCACGAATAACGTAAAAATAAACTTTCCTGAAATATGTAGACGCATTTTTCAATTGTAACACAACATTTCGTGTAGTTGCATTTATTTATTAATTATCGGCGAGCATACAATCACGCCAAAATTAAAGTTAGTGGACAAATAGTGGAGCTAGCAGTCATGAAACAATAGATTGCAGTTTTTTCTCTTTTATATCGAGATCGCTTGATATGATTGAACGTTCTTCAGCGATAAGGTGTATTCGATATTAATTCCTTTTACTCGCGACTTTTACACGCTTTTTTTTATCACGCAAGGGACGCTGGGAACGTTCGCAAAAAGGCAGCAACCTAACGGCAGGGCAGATTTCTTAGCCTACTACCCTAAACCGACCTACTGCCCCACTATTATCTTCTCACGGATGTATATAGAGATACACTGCGCTGACAAGCGGGAAATTATTTCGAAAACCTTTACCTGGAACGGAATTTTCGAGGACAATAGCGAATTCGCTAAAAAACAGTACAGAAATGTTCAAAATATTTGTTCTTTCGATCTCCTTTCCCTCATTTTTTTTTAAATTTTACCAAAATGATTAAAAACATTCCAAAAACAACGTTTCACAGAAGAAAAGCTGTTTCAATAATTTTGTACGATAAATTATTACTTACATGCGATAAATTTGTAGACAGGAAG